GGCGGGATAGAAATAAAATAAAATAAATAAATAAATAAATAAATAAATAAATAAATAGACAGCTTGTGACTGGGGAGAGGAAAAATCATAACTAATGCAAGTATCTGCGTGCCACAGGATGACCTGCTTCTGCCTCCAGGAGAGAGCAGATCGATTTTATGTGCCTGATGCTTGGTCTTCAGCGTTTAAAGTCGGGTTTCACAAACATGGAAAAATGGCACCAGTCTCTTCTCCACACCATTAATATGCTTTCAGCTTTAATTACAGCTGCTCCCTAAGGTCTCTTTCTGGCCTCAGAGACCAACCATTTAAGACTGTGAGCGTTAATGCTGTACCACAATAAAAGGTGGTTTTCTGTCCTTCACATCCTCTGCTGCGTTAATTCTCTTAAAGGATTCTCCTTAGTGGTATGTTTTTGGGGTGCTGCATGTTGCTTTTTTAGGGGGGAAGGTCCTTTCCTGGTTAAACACTGGAGTTGTTGTGCATTAAAAGTTGGCGTAAGGAAGGAAGAAGCTGCTTCTCCCATGTGCTGTTGCTCTCCAGGAACTTAGAATTCAATAGCAGTCATGAATCAGTCCCGGTGGCATATCAATTGAGGATATTTGGCTCCCTTTTGGACATTGTGCGTGCAATCTTGGGGGTGTCCAGCTAAAGTGGATTGGATCAAAGAAGTCAGAAGAGTGATTTAAGAGCAGTTTCCACCAGGAGCAGTGTGGAGCTATTGAGTGAGTGGGACCTTTAAAATGAAGCTAAATGCATTTTGCACTCTACCTCCTCATTCCTGTTCCCATAACCATCAGCGTCTGCAGCAGATACTAAAAATATACCAAAAAATTACAGAAAACATGAGCCTTTCTCGGAGTGTGAGGAGTGCCTTGGATGTGATCCTGTATTCTCATTGCGTGGGCTGCATCCTGTTTCTTCATGGCAAGCCAAAACACTCTCTCTGTGCTCAGAATGTTTGTTACTCAACCCTATAGGTGAGAATACATGTTTGTTTGTTTATTTTATTTATAATTTTCTTACCCTCTCATGCTCCTTAAAAGGAAGCCAGGCGATGTCTTTCATTAAAAGGCAATATTAAAGCTAACAACGGGGAGTATACAAATACTAAAAAGGCTCAAACACCATATTAAAAAAAAACACATAAGCAACACCAAAACACTATTAAAAAAAAACAACATAAGCAATACCAAAACATATTCAAAACAGTATGGCGCAACCATTCAAAAACTTGTCTCACCCAGGAAGTTACGAAAGGAAAGCTTGCCTGAAGAGAAAGGCCTTTGCCTGCTTGTAGAAGGACAGCCAAGAGGGGGTTGGCTGGCCTCCAGTGGGAAGGAGTTCCAGAGTCTCTGGGAGCAGCCACAGAGAAGGCCCTGTCCTGTGTCCCCACCAAATGCAGTTGTGAAGGTGGTGGGACCCCCATATCTCAGGGGAAAGTCATCGAGAGGAAAGATTGTCTGAAGGGAAAGATCTTTGCCTGCTTTTTGAAGGACTACAAAGATGCGGCCAGCCTGGCCTCCAGTGGGAGGGAGTTCCACAGCCTCTGGGAGCAGCCACAGAGAAGGCCCTCGCCCGCATCCCCACCTAGAGAAAGGCCTCCACTGATGATCTTAATACCTAGATGGGCTCAAAAAAGGGAGATGTGGTTCTCAAGATAGCCTGCACCCAAGCGGTTCAAGTCTTTATCGGTTAGAACCAGCACCTTGAATTCAACCCGGAAATGGATCGGCTGCCAGTGGAGCTGCTGTCACAGGGCGGTGATGTGGTCCAGCCCCATTCATCAATCTGGCTGCTGCATTTTAGACCTGCTGAAGTTTCTGAACAGTTTTCAGAGGCAGCCCCCCGTAGAGCGCATTACAGTACCAGAGGCAGCCTCCCCATAGAGTGCATTACAGTAATCTAGCCGGGAGGTAACAAAGGCCCTTGTCGCCTTAGCCAGATCAGACTTTCTTAGACATATTTCTTCTTCCCTTGTCTGTCGTTTCCAGGAATATTGCCAGAGAAGAGAAGAGAGCCTCAAGGCCTTCTCTCCTGCTCTCACCCCACTTCTCTCTCCCCACAAGTGAAACTGCCGAATTCCCAGCAATGATCTCAGCCTGGAGTCCTTCTGAACAATTTGTCATGGGTGGGAGTGCGTCTGTAAAAGCTTTCTGTCCTTGACTGTCTGGAATGTCTCCAAGATGTTAAAAGCATCCCTCGCCAAAAGGTGAAAGGCTGAAAACATTTCTCCAGTCCTGGAGTTAGGACTCGCATATAAATGCAGTGCGACTCCATGCAAACTTCAGACCTCATTTGGGTTTGGAGAAAATAATGTGTTGGCTATTTTTTTAAAAAAAAAAACTAGAGTCTGACATTCTATGGTTTTGAGATTAGCTGTTCTTCCTGTTGCCGCTCTGAAATAGCAGTCTAATAAACATGCTTGAACAATGAAATCATTCCTCCCCCTCAACTCGCTGCCTCCTACCTCTATGACAAAGTTTGCATGATTTAATGAGAGCAAATGACAGGGCAGGGTAAGATCTTAGGGGAAAAAAGTAAACAGAGTGAAATCCCTGGGCAGATTCTATTCATTCAGGGCAGGGCAAGAACCCATGGGAGAAAATTCATCAGAAGGAGATCCAACCTGGAAAAAAAGGGAATTTCCAGACAGTGAGAAACAAGAGTGGCCTTGTAGGCCAGATGGGTGGGGAGGGAATTTCCAGACAGTGAGAAACATGAGTGTCCTTGTAGGCCAGATGGGCGGGGTATAAAACAAACAAATGAACGAATGAACGAACGAACGAATGAATGAATGAATGAATGAATGAAGCAGTGGAAAAGCTTGCCTCCCGATGGGGTGGTTGCCCCATGGCTGGAGGTTTTCAAGAAAAGATTGGACAGCCATCCATCCGGGAGGATATGGCCCTGTTGCCTATCTGTCTCCTAACCACAGCCCAACCAGGTAGGCTAAGCCAAGAGAAAATGACTGGCCCAGGTTCACACCAACGACCTTCAGGTCTAAGGGGTGATTTGAACCCTGGTCTTCCTAGTCCTGTTCCACTCCTCTAATGACGACATCCTCTTTGCTGAAGATGACAAATCTCTCGGAGCCATTCTAGAATATTTATCAAATCAGCACAACAAAAGCAGCCCAAAAAGTCTTGGGGGGGCAACTTATAGAGTAGCCAAGTTTTGGTTTTCATATAGAATCATAGAATTGGAAGGGACCTGTAAGGCCATCAAGTCCAACCCCCTGCTCCATGCAGGAATATAAGTCAAAGCAGATCTGCCAGGCGATTGTCTAAATTTCTCTTGAATGCCTCCAGGGTTGGAGTGCTCACCACCTCTTGAGGTCATGGATTCCACTGTTGTGCTGCTCTAATAATGAAGACGTTTTTCCTGAGATTCCACCTAAATTTGGCTTCCTGTCACTTGGGCCCATTGCTATGTGTCTTGCACTATAGGATGATCAAGCATAGATCCTGTCCCTCCTCTGAATGACAGCCTTGCAAGTTTATCAAAAAACGCTACCCTATTTCCCCTTAGTCTCCTTTTCTCCAAGCTAAACCTGCCCAGTTCTTTCCGCCTTCCCTCCTAGGTTTCCAGCCCCCTGATCATCCTTGTCACCCTCTTCTGAACTTGTTCCCATTTGTCTGCATCCGTCCTAAACTGTGGTGTCCAGAAGTGGACACCAGACTCTAGATGAAACCTTACCGGTGCTGAATAGAGGGGGACTAGCACCTAGTGAGTTTTGAAGACTAAACTTCTGCTTTAGGGTCACTGGCTTTTGTTCAGAGATTCTCTTGTTTTTACTTTCAAGGAGGCAGGTACGGCCCTGATCCAAGCTGCAAGCAAGAGCTGAATCCCCAGCTGGTTCTCCTCTATGTGTAGGTTTGGGGAAGAAAATGGTGGTGGTGGGGCCTCCATTAAAAACAAGTTCTTGGTACCCTTGACACACTCTTGGATTAGAGAATAAATCCAAGCTACATACACCCTTTTACTTACAGGCTATTTAAAGGGAAAGCTGTTATTGCAGATGATGCATGAAACCCAAATTGGCTCCAGCCGTATAAACTTTGCTCTGCAGGTGATTCATATATATATACTGTATATGTATGCACGCATCTGTGATGCATGTGTACAGTCCCACAAACAGCTTTCCGTGGCTGCTGAAAGCAGATAAAAGATGAAAGTTTGCCTGTTTATGCTTTGGGGCATCATCCTGTGTTCCCACCAAGGTGAGAAATAGGTAGAAATTAAGCAAAGAAGAGAAATTCGTTGAAATG